CAATTTTACATTTCATACTCATTTTCCAACTTTGTTTTGCCGTCGTTATGTACTCTACATACAGCTTGTTCTTAATTTTTTCTTATATTTCGACCAGTTTTAGATTCGGGTTCTTGTGAAAATGTTCTGATCAAAAAGAGTGTGTAAGAATAAGGCAAGCAGCCATACGAAAAGGCAAGGCTGTGGGCAAAAGAGCTGTTTTTAGAGAGGGCAAATGTATTAAAGTAATGAAGAAGATTCCCAAATCAAGTTTTAAGCATGGCATTATAGTCACAGAGAAACGTTTTTGGATAAAAAGCCCCCCTCCCCCGTAGATCCCTTTTCCCGGCTACTACGTCATTGACGGAACCAACAGCATCATAAAATTGTTTTAGCAGCCGAATAACGACTGGTTTTCCAATGAGTACTTGGTCCTAAATCCCTAAATGAAATTTGCAATGAAAGGTGGTTTAAAGTTGAATTACCAGTCAAACCCTAACAGTTTGAAGTTCAAGCAATTTTCTAAAATAGGAATCTGAAGTAAGCTAATTTTTTCAAACCGAGGTCGTGACAGAGGTTTTTATGGGAAAATTCGTCAAACTTGACCTATGATTTCTTTAAACTCATGATTCTTGGCAAATCTACAAAACAGTACTTGCTGCTTACCTTTAAATATCTTATAGTATTCTGGTGACAGGCTGCCATCTCTCCCCCCCCCCCACCCCATCATGGCACTTTATGTTGTTTGGGTGACAAAAAAGGGCGTCTGTTTACTTACAGGGAACCCCCTCATTAAACATAATCAATTTTAGCTTCAACGTACACACATTCAGACTACATGCTTATTTGCCCCTACAACAAATTGGGGCATTTTAGGGGCCCCTTTTTTTAACCTTTGAAATTCCTACGACTAAAATAACAACATGTATTGAGTTTCGAAGTATACAACTTCCTTCTCTTGAAACACAAGACTTTCGACAAAAAAGTTTCTTTAGTGGCTCCAAAGAGTTTTAACGAGGTTTGGAAATGGCGACAGAGTTCAAGGGCGGAAAAGGTTACCACTTGTTGTTCAATTGTACACTGACATGAATAGGCTCCTCCCCTAACAATTAAAAGTTGTAAAAGATATCAACAAACAAACAACAAAGTACAACAATGGCAATTCTTAAAACCAAGTATAGTAGAGATCCCTATTTAGAGTGTTTTTGTTGTTTGATTGACCTCGATTTGCACAATCGGTGTACGACGAATCATCTCCTTTGGATGAATATGCACCTATGCTCTGTCTCTTAAGCTAAATGCATCTGGAAATTGAGAGTTTGCTTTGCTTGATAGATATCCATTAATGCTAGCCCACAACGTAGGGAGCTTCACTTAGTTGAAGTGGAAGGGCAGCAGCCGTTCTATAGAATTTGAGCCATTCATTGAGGCCCTTGTATCCTTAGGTGGTTTTCTTTCTCTGTTCATCAATAAATAAACCAGAATAAAACATTCTTTCAAAAGACAGGACTACCCCTATCCAAAAAATTTCTGTAAGACCCAACATTGATAACTGAAGTGGGTTCATTTGGGACGTTTCTGTAATTTTTGATAGCAACTTAAGTTATTGCCTTCCATTGAAAAGATAGCGTTCAGCACAGTGATTAGCTATGCAAATTCAAATTCAACTTGTGTGAAATGCAAATTCAACTCAATCTAAAAAGAACATCAAAATTTTTAAACTTAGCTTTCGCCACTCTTGGAAGTTTTAAGGGTCAGGATTTTGAACATGTTCCAAACAGAATTGCGATGGCATTTTTGTGTATTATTTCAGGAATAAGCTTGGTTTTCTACACATTATCGCAAAACAAAAATAGACTTGCTAGCAGTGTAAGAAATAGCTTCAGATGAAGATATGAATTTAAAACGTTAACCTAGTTGTAGAATGTTTGTGAGAAAATCTATTTTTTGAAGTGGCGTACAGAACTTCTGCACAATTCCTCCTCCGTTGTGGTCTGTAAAGCCGTTTAGTGTATAGTTAGAAAGTCGTGGGTTATTAGAGAAAAGTGACGTTAAGCCAATGCTTCATATCACATCATTGTCACTCTGTGATGGAACAATTTGCTTAACCTATAGCCAATAATGATCGCGACCCATCCCATTTCACCAGTAAACGACCATCACGACTTGTGAAATTCATCCAACAGTTTGTTAGAATGTCATCTTTGCAATTAGTGCATTAATCGGATCAACACATAATCGTTATGGTTTTCAACGGGTATTCATGTCATAAACGTGTCCTTAAATGGCAAAGATTTTACCCAAAGTATATTTGGATGGTTTTGATACTCCTTGTCAAACCTTAGCTTGGGTCCTCCTTTGTCCACACGGAATGTAATCATATACATAGTAACTCTACCTACAAATGATCAGCCAATGGATTGAATCTCATTAAACGGTTTGTTGTTTGTCAAACCAAATTTCTCAGAACATGTCTATAAAAATCTTGTACAAAATGCCATTTTGATTCCCTGATCTACAATCCATGATAACCCATACTCACACTCCCTAAGCTCGTTCCACGTAGCAAGTGTTAACTGTACATACCCATCTCCTGGTAGTCGATGATATCAGCGGTGTCTTGCTAAAGATTAAACAAGGAACTGTTGTATTGTACGCCACAAAACCATTAAGGAGGACCTAAGAAAAAAACAGATTTGAAGCTCGTTAATACCTTTAAAACATTGTAATTGACGGATAACTTTTAGTGACCTGTCATATTGAGATATGCTCAAGTACTTAGCATTCTGTCAGCACTGCACGGTGCGAATTGTGCGAATGATAATGAAGCTCCTGCAAGGCTAGAATTAGCAATCACAACCGCCATTATGATTTACTACCAGAAGCTTAACGCATGGCCTGGTCTACTCTGTAGTGCCTCATCCTTTAGATTTAGCTTACGCCGGAGGCAAGAGTTACATCACTACCCTAAGGTGCTATTGCTAGACACGTCAGCTGCACAACTTCCTGCAAGATATCGATGCCATAATTTCAGTCAAAGTTATACTTAATCATCTTTGCATTCAGAGACTGGTTTTGAGCATTTGTGAATTATCACTACGACATCATTTCTGAATTATGAGATACGACCAAGGCATTTCTTAACATTCTCAGTGGTGGGGAAAATGCCCCACCAGGCCCTACGAGTTCCCCCACCACCGACAAGCAAAATTCTACTTTTACCCCAGATGCCAAGCCACTGTTTGACCCTTTCAAAAGAATAAACATGATAGAAATGGGCTGACAAAAAACATAATATTATATTTTCTATCAACATGATATTTTGGTGATATGTCTCCACTACTGCAACCTCAAGGAGTTGAACAACCTATGCCTTCAGTAGGGAGGACGTTCAGATTATTCACTGAAAACGTTTTAATCAAGGACGTGGAAAGGATTAGAAAAGTGGGAGCAGAGCGTCGGTTTAAAGGGGCAACCTAACAAATATTCTATAGGGTAAAAAGACCTCTTTTAAGGGGCATCCTAACAAAGAATCTGGAGGCCTACCTAGAGAAATTCTGTTTCTGGAGGCCTAGCTTCAATGATTTGGATATCATTTTCAGGCTTAGTTGCTAGCAGTGCCGCCGAGATGTTTTGGAGGCCCTGTGGCAAAACGGAAAGATGAGGTCTGCTACGAGCGAAGCGAGCAGAAAGTTTTTGGCGACCATGCCATTAGATAAGCTGAAAATGCATTCAAAATATTTCTTGCAGTCATCTTCTTGCAATTTTTAAAAGCATTGTACCATTGTTTATAAAAAATGTTGTGAACCTGACTGATTTCTTCCTCAAACTGTTCCCCTAAATCTAAAGGCGTTTTGCCCCCCCTCGCCTTTTGGCAGCTCTGGTTGTGAGTTTGTTGTTTTGCTGTTTCTAAAAGCAGATCAAAAGGAAAAATTTTTGATCGTGGCCAGAAAGGTCACCCCCTACATACTCCCTTTGCTCATTTCGTATAGGGACTAAGCATTTCAAGAGCACTTTTGTGTTATGCAGTTGGCAAAAAGGGCAACCCGGTAAACTGCAAAGGGGCACGTGTCCCCTGTGCTTTCGGTTCCCACGTCTATGTTTTTAAGAAAACTTATTTACTAGGTTCATGATATTCGATGAAAAGGTTCCAATTTTGTTTATAAACAATATGTAAGAACGCTTTAAAGAGACTTCATGTCAAGTCTTGAAGCCTAAATTCTCAATCCTAAAAAATTAAGTATGGAAACAGCTTGGCCATGATGTCACAAACATTTTGCTAAACGTAATAAATTGCAAACAACGCAAAAATTTCAATTCAACATCCACAACATACGACAGTATAAACAGAAGAAGCTAAGCTAACATCTATATTATAAATAAATTCATAGCTAATTGGTTGATACCGATAACTTGCTGCACCACAAGCTCCTTTACTGAGTACATTTAGAACAGAATTTACTTCGTAAAAATGCAGTGCTTACGAATGTCACCTATACAAATACTGTGTCATAGCTCTTTGATTGGTGTTATTTTGGATGGAAAATACATCGGAATGTTTCGTAAGTGTGTTTGATAGTTGAAATCAACGCTAAGGCCATGTTAAAGGCGATTTGTAACAGCTTATAGTAAAGCTCAACCTTAATGAGATTTGAAGTTTTTTGCGGTTATACGTGTGGCTAATTTAAAGGTTATCATACTATGACACAGGTCTCAGGAATCAAACACGTTACAGTGTATCACAGTGAAATTTGACCGAGTTATTCTGGTTCTGTGGGGGCCAAAAAGGTGTCTAACAGCCTATGAGTGAAAACTCCTTTAATTTCTGCCTTCTTTTAAACTACTTTGTGTTCTTAGAGCTTTAGAAATGCAAGTCTATAAAAACAGTCAAATTGACTAACATACTAATTGCTCAAAATTAATCTTTTTTCGGGGAAACTTTTCAAATACTCTAGTATACAGGATACATTAAGCCAAACAATTTTTTGCAATACAATATCAAATTCTTGGTTTTATTGCAGGATCTGCATATCTATATTCGGATATCGCAAGAAAGAAATCAAGCAGGCCAACTTTTAATGGGCGTCAAATCTACCACTTGGAGAAGACTTTTGAACAGACAAAATACCTGGCAGGACCTGAGAGAACAAGGTAACTTTCATCGTTACAAAGTAGTCAAGCATCTTATTTCCTTTTCAATGTACTGTCTGATTTACTTGAATTTTGTTCGCTTGTGGAAAACTTGAATTTTGTTCGCTTAGGCCCTCGTACAACTTCACACAATTTGTTCAGCTAAGGTAACTCAGGATTTGAAAGTCCAATTGGGGCAGAAGTTTTTAGCACATTAAATGCTCCAAGCTTTGCCCTCTTTGCAAACAAAAAAGCAAATCATTTCATTCATTTTGTTTTTGAGCAGCCACAAATATTTGATAGTATATCAAACCACAAATTATTTTTTCAACTGAGAAATTTAACTGAAGATCTTTGGCCAATTTATAGTCTGATTATTTTCAGGCTCGCTCATTACCTTGCCATGACAGAAAATCAAGTGAAAGTATGGTTCCAAAATCGACGGACAAAATGGCGAAAAAAAACAGCCGAAATGGAGAAAGCGAGAGAGGCTGCCATGGCCCACGCCCAAAGATTGAGAAACTTGGATTTGGTCGAGCTTTGTTCGCACTCTAATGAACGAATTAGCAGATGCTCTGATGGGAAAGATTCGACTGACTCGGAAAATGAGACGACTAGCTGAGTTGGACTGGGTTTCGAACCTGATCTCGTTTTCAAAACGAGATAGGTGATGTGGAATCACGCCTGCTCGTAAGAAAGTGGTGCTCACGCTGATGGTCATCGTGGCGTTTTGATGGCGGTTTTCACAAAAGTTGCTTGTGATTTGTTGAGCTGATATGTCAAATCGATTTTGCTCGCTTTTCGGTAGTTGCCATTTTATATTTTTAAGCAACAGTGAACTATATTTTGCCAATGAATTTGAATCGCTGTGTATATAAATTTAATCTGTGAAATAGTAAAAACAGTCGCCAATGAATAACAAAGCTGTGTATTAATTTTTATAAGAACCCGTAATATTTCTAAACAGACAAATGTAAAAGAACAAATTTCCTTGCCTTTGCTTTCATTTTCTTTGCCTGGTAGATATTTCTGAATACCCATCTATAGTTTTATGAAATCGCTTCATCTATGTACCTTAACATTCTGTTAAGACAACACGTCAGTCTATTTACTGTTGACGTTTAATCGAGTTTTAAGTTCATAGAAACGACTACTTTCTGAGGTATTTTATTTCGGACTTTTGCCCCTGTGGAAAAGGTTATAATTCCCATCCCTTTTTAAAGACTACGTATTGTATTTATTTTTTGTGCAGAAGACATGAATGGACTATTTCAAATTATTTTGCCAATTCCAATAGGCTGAATCATGCCAGAAGGCCGTCTCCGTACCTGCCGGCCAAATCGCCTTTTTTACTAGTCTTTGCTTTCCACAGTTATTCTGTTTCTATTTATTTCATGATAGTATAAGAAAATCTCATGGAATGGACCATTTTTGTGGCCCATTGCAATCATTTTTTACCCGGGCCCATTACAATCATTTTTTACCCTAGCCTTCGTCATCGATAAAAAATTGCAGAAATGGACCTTTTTGGTGAGAGAAACAAAATATAACAAAATGGACCATCGAGAACCATTATCAAATTTTTTGTATGAACCAACTCTGTGCTAGAACAAAAAATCCAAATCTGTGTTCAGTCTAGTTGCGTTTCAGTTGAATGCTGCCCTCTTATGGCAAAAAACCTTTTTAGACTTACTTTGGTGTTGCTGCTGAGCTCAAGAAATAGAAAGGCGATTTCATATATCTATATCATGGAATTCTTTTGTAATTGAAGAACGATTTCAAGGAGATTTATCTTTGCAAGATTTTTATTCAGTTGTTTTCTTGAGTTTGTCTTTGACATTACCGGCCCTTTTGTCAAATAGGGTTTCTTAAACTTTGACAACGCTCTTTCTCTTGTGTACATAACCTTTATCCTTCAAAGACTTCACCTTGATCTCCTTATTATTGTCAAGTATTATCAAGGAGTTTGCCAGTCTTGGGAAGTTTCTTCTTCTATTGACTATCAAACTATGGGTGCATTTACTTCTGTATTGATGTTTGCCTTTATTGTTTACCTTGCCAACTGCCAACTTTGTTTTGTCAATGTAAGCCCTTCCTCCATATTTAAGAAAGTTGGTAAGTTCCTCACCTACGTTTTCATGCTTTGCAACTATCGTTGTTGCCTTGGTGACGGCAGAAACAATGCTGGTTTATTCTATATGCAATGCAATAGGCACATTTAAACGAGGCCCTTTAAAGATATGCCTGCCACAGCATATCACAATCCCGTCAAAATTTGTAAGGTTTTTTATTATCGTTCTACAAAGCACTGATTACAAGAATACTGTTCTAAAGCCCCACGTTTTCCGTTCAAAGAACGCTGGCTTTCGCTTTCAATAGCGAGCCGACCTGAGTAAACTTATTAAGAACGAGCAGGTGTTTTCTGAAAGCATTGAATTGCATTAGGCGCAGACTTGTTGTACAAGGCCTCAAAGTAGCAGATGTTTCGAGGGCTTAAAGCAAGTCGAAAGAATTACTGAAGCTCTCGTTAGCAACTTCTCATCCCGCCTTTGCAAATAAATTGAGGACTCAAAGTCCAGCGTACAACCTGCACCGATGAACATGGACAAAACGATGCTAGTTCAAAACGTCGAGTCGTTGAAATTTCAACTAGAGATCAACAGGATGCCTCTGTCCAAATCTTGCAACGAGTAAGTCAGTTCTTTAAATAAATACAGGATCTTCAAATAATCGCCAAATTTATAAAGGAAAAAGCTTGAAGTCCCCGACCTGGATTTTGGTAAATATCAACACAAACGACATTATATTCAACCACATCTTTACGGAAAAATCCAGAATGATTCCTTTCACGAGCTTCTGAAGAAGGCCGAAACACATATCACTGTTATGTTGATATTTCGGGAATAAATCCGATGTTGTGCATAGACTTTTAAATTATGCTTCACACCTTATCTTTTGCGAAAAGCTTTAACTGGTTTCGAAATATCTGCTCTCCAAGATTCTTCTTTCTTAAAAGCAGATGTATGCCTGTTTCTTGTTTTGGGAAATTACTTTAAGTAAACAAACCCTTGCAAGGCTTGGTAACAATAGCAGCAGACAAAAAGAGTCGAAGGAAGGAATTTCGGATCGATCTGCTTGTTATTCGGGACGATCGGGGTAGGTAATCTTTATAAAAAAATCTCGAATAGGCCCCGAAAGAGTTGAAATCGAGCTTGCTATGAATTACCTGCTATTGCTCAACGTTATACATTTGAACAGGTTCTCCATTGTCGGATGTTGTTAACAAGCTTTTCATGTGACTCCATACAAAGGAAGTCTTTGTTTAGGCCTTGCTGTACCTGCACCAAAGGGCTTCAGCCCCTGCAATCAACGGCGTTCATTTATTGTGTTTGTCCCCGCCATAGTACCCGAATACAATGGCAATAACTCTTCATCCATAAAGGTACATACAATTTTATGTTCTTGTAGAAAGAGGAGTTTGCAAGCGAAAAGATGTTTCAGTGAGAAAGTGTAGGCTTTTAACAGCGAAAAATGACGCCGGATCTATTACAACAGGATATTATAAGAGGCCTAAAAATGGGATGAATTTGCTCCCCCATCTTTTCATATTCTTCCTTTATACAGAAGTTTTGAGTATGCGACTCTGCTTTTCGAAAATCTTAGATAGTCTTAGCACGTCCATTCCTAAATAACAACAGGAAATGACAACATATGTTGTTAAAGCTATTCTTTAATTACCTTAATTTAAGATATTATCAAGCGCAATTAAACTGCAAGGAGCACTTCCTACGAATCCCAACTTCGAGGCCATACCCACGTCTCCCTTGATCAAATCTTTCTTTGGTTGGCAACCACAAGCTCAATTGGTTTGGTATTTGGTCGGCTTAACCTCTATACCATATAATTTTCAAACAATTTGAGTATTCTGTTAATGGTGAAATAAGATGTCAAATACCTTCAGTTTTTGCGAGCCCTATCAGGCAGATTTTCCATCTTATGAGTAAGATCAGCTAGGCGCAAAATCTAGCTTGTTGCCCTGAATAAAAAGCAATTTTAATTGTTTGGCTATGTTTGGTGCTTTTTATTTGTCATTTTGAATATCTGTTACTAGATCTTTTGTGTTCTTTTTTCAGGATAAAGCAGTTTTGCTTGCAGCACTCTCCGACAGATCCTCTTGTCAATCCAAATGCTAGAAAGTCAAACCCATGGGCTGAAAAGTCAAAATGTAGTCTTATATAGAAGAAGAAAACGAATGATAACTTTCTGACGATTAAAAATATTATGAAGATTGGTAAAGAAGAAATTTTGCTGCAGAGCTGAGCAGCGAATTGGAACAACCTGAATGATTCAAGATCACATTTACTGGACGTAACCTAACGTCTTTTAACAGGTTTATCATATTCGACATCAACTGCAAATATAATACTAACTGATTTAAATTATTATTATGTTATATACTGTTATAATTAACCTCTTGGTCACATAAATCTAATTTAACTGCACACTATATAAAGACGTATTGTAAAAATGACATAAGCAGCATAGAATTGGTAATTGTCACGAGAAGAACAGACCCGGAATCTCACTAACCTTATAATCATCAAACCATAAAATCGTTTGAAACTCTTCTTATACTTAGTAACACCATTCTTCTGGCTTTTTAACATATTTTAGACAGACCATAGCTATATATTAATGAAGCGTCATTCAAACATGTTCTCCCATGTAAAACTCCTTCCACACTCGAAAGATGGCAGACGTCTATATAGCTTCCTTTAAGACAGAAAGGCCGCGTTTTGTGTTGTTATGGATGAAAAATTGTTAATTTATCTTTTTCTTTGTAAATATTGTCTCTTTGTTTACTTCTTAGTAGTACTACTGCTAAAGTTGCTAAGTTATAAAGATGTAAATTTAAATTTGCAAAACTATAGAACGTAGTTTTCTGTTTATGTCAACCCTAATAGCTTCAGATTGAAAAATAAAAGCGCAGATGAAAAGTTTTCAGCAGAGCATCACTGACACACTTCAACCGAGTTTAACCACCTGTCTATGTAAACAACAAACCTTTGGAGAAGTTAGCCATGCTTTGAGCATTGTTTTCCAAAGAATAAAGTGTCAGAAAAGTTGCTAATGTGTATGCTAGAAAAGAATGAAGTGACTTTAAGCATTTCACTGCGAAGCTTATCAGTGAGTTGGTGAACTATCCCTAAGGTTCTTTCCAATTCTTCAGCTTTTAATGAGTAAAAAGTATCTTCCCTTCTATCACAGTTTTAAGGCAAAGTAAGACAGCTGGACTTTTATCGAAATAGTCAAAGCTAAGAATAGTTATCACATATTCATAAGGTTAACTTACAACATTTTAAAAACATACTACACTGGGTTATATCAATCCAAGTCACACTAGATATAGAACACATTAGAAGGAGAGACTATCAATTTATAGCTGTTGCAGCTTAGGCCAAAATTTTATTTTGGTTATCTGAACATTATTTCTAGTGAAACAGTGAAATCTGAAGAAAATTCGCCTATATAATAAGTGAGCTAGAAAGGGACCCCTTCCTGGAGAATTAACTAAACTGAAGCAAAATTGCTGACATGCCACTTATCTTCAGGGTTAACATAACACACATTTTGCTTTGCCCCCCCCCCCCCCCCCCGTGTCATATCCACCCAGATTTTTCTAAGGACCACTTAGATTTGAAGATTCAAAGGAACTCTGGCAAATTGGGTCCATGCGAAAAAGCAGCACTTAAAGTCGTTAAAACGTCAGTGATGCAAGGACGCCGGGGTACAATTTGGAGGGGGGGGAGGGGGGTGCTCTAGAAAAATTGACAAACTTGTATAATGCCAAAGTCGAAATAAAAGTATGCCTAGGGTTTTTCTAGTAATTGATAAAATTTAACTCCAGGTGTCTTTTATAAACATTCCCGGCAAATGTTTAGTTCTGACGGAAACTTTGCAAAAAGATGCACAGTCTATTTGTACTTGTTTTTGTATAACCCTGCATATCACGGTCCCATATTCCAGTGAAAAATTTCTGCGCACATAAAGGTCAATGAAAGCAACCGTTAGTACTCTTGAATTGAAACCGTTTTGGGCCACATCTATGCGAAAAAATTCACACAGGGGTGCTGGCCTATAAAGTAAAGACAAGGTCTGTGCTGAAGACGAAAAGCCACAGTCAAGACCGCACCCATAATCACACCCTACATGAATACATTTGTTTTGAAGATTCTCTATTGTGTGTGTAAAGAATCATTCAAACTATTCACCGACACTATAAGTCTAGCATAACATTCTTGTTCAAAGCAAGTCAGTGGCATAAGAAAGGGTTTATTTTCATGTAAGGAATTTGCCCATTCGAACATGAAATGTCTTGTCTCTGAAACTCTCTGAATTTTAACAAGGGGGCTTATCCCTCCGAGCTTCCCTTCACGTAACTTCTGCTTTCATAGTATGCTTTCATAGTATATTCAGATGACAAAAATTCAATTTTTTGAGCTAGACATTCTATTAGACAAAGAGAGCGGCTGTTATAGTGGAATTCTTTGTCCATACTTGTTGAATAAGTATGCTTTAGGATAAATCCTCGACGAGATGGAGGTGCGAGCCCTGACAGCATTGCAGTTGAAAACACTCAAAACTTTTGTGAGAAAAAGGCCATTAATGTGTGACTTGGTTGAAAGGAAATAGAACAAATTCTGGCAACAATTTGGAGCTTGCGGCCCTAAGCTTCCCTGCCAATGATGGTTAAGTGAAAAGTGCAAGTAAAGGCAGTAGCAAAACGCTGTCTTTCGACATCGAGAACACTTTAAATGTTAATGCAATGAAACATCGTTGAAAAATTCGGTCGTTTTATCGGAAATTCGCAGATGTTCTAGCAAAAAACAGGGATCTAGAACGTTTTGTAACATAGTGATTTCAGAAGATGTCTTAATTTTTTGGAAAAGTTAGTCATAAATTTCAATCACCAAGTAGAGGCTTCACGGGAAAGAGGTAAATCAATAATGATATCTGTTTATCTCTTCGTAGCAACGCGACCTCCTTTGCCAACTACCAACTCAAAGAAGAAACTAAATAATTTCGATTGAGGTGATATATATGTAGATTTGAATCGTTTATCAAAATAAATATTAACGAATAAATGAAGTTTTCAAAGGCTGCTGCCGGATATCTATGAAGGAAACTGGATAGCATTTGTGAGTGATTTGACAACAGAGCCGAATCATAACAACAATGTTAGGTCCTACAGTTAAGGAAGGTGAATTTACTTCCACCATTTATAATTTGGTAAGTATTGCCTTTTTTATTTCAGCTTTTGTTTCATTAGTATTGTTAGCCACTGCAGAATCATAGAAATTTAATTCGAATTGACGAAGCAATAAAACCCATATATAACAACATCTTTGCACACGTAGACATATAATATTGAAAACTGCTCACTGCACCCGTCAGTTTGCCAACTTTGAAAGTTTGCGTACTTGATGTCTACATTTAAAAGAATTAGAACAATAAACACATTTTTGAACGCTTTAAATTTACCGAATGATCACATAATTTTCAAATTCCACACTCGGATAGCATTATTAGGTATAGAAATATTTTTTGGATTTGCTTTTGTTTTGTATCAAATATTCTGTCATACAAATTTCTTGATTAGAAAACTACTCACATAGCTTGTAAACTCATATTTATTTATTGCTGTTACTGGCTTTAAAATAAGATATTTTCAAAGTGTTGCAAGCATCTGACTTTGAATTTTTAGATAAAGTCCCAGAAATATGGAGAAGCTATTCAGATATTGTCCAGAGAAGCACAGAATCATCCAGGTGTATGTAGATATTTGATAAAGCTATTTTTCACTTCAGAAAATTCCAAATGACATTTTAATAATGATTGTTTTTCTCTTTGATTCTATTGCAAGCTTTTTACACAGAAATTTTCCAACAACAACTCATTTTTTACTTATGTTGAAGCTGTTTGTTTAATGTGTGAAATCAAGAAGTTGGAAACATTGAACTTAATTTTTATGATGATTTGTTTGAAGGACATATTAGGAACTTTTCAGAGTTTAAGTTATTTCCTCTAAAAGGTTTTTTTTTACCTCCAAAATGTTTTTTTTGTTTAGTCAAGAACTGCTCTATCACTCCTTGGCTATTGCTATTATGGAATTCAAGATTTTAAAAATGCAGCTGATTGGTATGTTTGGTTTTTTCTTCCTTAATTACACCAGTAAACAAAGAGACTCTGTTTAATGAATGATGAAATAAAGACTATTTCTTACTTTGGCAGCTTATTTAAATGCAGCTTGATTTTCACTTTGATTTTTATGTTTGATTGATGAAAGAATTGTTTACTTCATTTTCTCACTCTTCATCTTTATATAAACATCTTCTATTAAATCTTTTCTACAGTTATGAACAGTTGACAAAGTCCAACCCTGAAGTTGAAAGCTATAAGCTATACTATGCACAGGTATGTTATATCTTATCATGTAGCACTTATTATTTCCAGTCAGCATGAAAGTTTGCTCTTAAGGGTTTGGAAATTTTCTTTGAATCTTTTTTGTGATAACCTCTACAATTTATCTCACTTTGAATGTTGTAGTGCTTGTACAAGGCTTTTGAGTTTCAAGAGGCGATGAAAGTTACTCACCAGATAGAAACACCATCCACGCAAGACAAGGTATACTGTTGTTTTTTTCATGACAATTAATCAGATGTAAGAAGTTATTTGTTTTAAATGTATATATTGCTTGAATAATATGTAATTTATGAATGTATAAAGGATAGCTACTAACATTGATGAAGGATGCTATTTGCCTACAAGCATGGGCATATGTAGACAAAAAAGGCACCTCCCTTAGCCGCAAAAAGGCATTTGCTCTCAGCTTCTGAAAAGTGGGGGAAATATTCTTCCTGTGCAACACCAGTTTTCCTACATCTATTGTTGCTACGATTTTATTATTTTGATTTAAAAGCTGCAGATTTGGTACTTTTGACTCCATTCTGGCCTGATCCCACCTACACCTTATGCATGAATGAGTCACATCTCAAAACTACCATCATTGTTTATATCCCCATTGGTTTTATCCCTTTCACCACATTTTTCCAAATTATCTTGAAGGGTATTGGTCATTTTCTTTCCAGTCTCATATAATACCTATTTTGATCAGATACATGTTATATTTGTTATTTCCTATCAATAATTTCCTTCCAGGTGTTGAAATTACAAGCTGCTATAAAGTACAGTGATGATGATCTCTCAGGTGCACAGGTTAGTTCTCTGCCCCATTATCATATCAAAATTTATTTTATTTCATTTGACAAATTAAACAAAATTTTGACAACCTTACCATGACATCAGCCATTCAACTTGTATGTTTATGTGATCTGATTTTATTGAATTCAGTAATTCAAATTTTATAATCTGAGCATGTTTACACAGCTTCAGAGGCATTTTCTAATATGTAGATCAAAGCTAATACATTAAATGGCATGCACGGAGCCTCTATATATACTGTTGTTGCATCACTGAAAAGTAGGGGAGACGGTCATTGTTTTTTCTAAAAATGACCCAATCTGTACATTGCTTTCACCATAAATTTGCCAGAATCCTGCAAATTTTCAGTAATGAAGGAAGTTGTGGCGATCTTCTGTTTCTTGCGATTGATGTCTATAACATTATGTAAGATACAAAATTTTTACTGTATTGTGTTCTGTTGAAAGTAATTATTTTTCAGGCTTTGGTTGAGCAAGTTCCCTCTGATGACCCAGACAGTGATGTGAACCTTGGGTGCCTTCTGTACAAGGTTTGCTTTCTGATGTACTTGTTGTTCTAGTAAAAACTTTGTCAGAGAAAACAAAGACATGTAAATTCTAGAGGGAGCAAACTATTATTCATAGAGCTTGTTTAAATGCTGCCACATTATTTTGCTTGTTTGTCCTATTGTGGACAGAGCAATTAGGGTATCAATCATTTCCACATACTTTTCTACAGCCTGGGTAGTCTATGCTATATAATTCATACCTTCTGGCTGCCAGAGTCACCTTGTTTTTCAAAAGATAAATGTATTATTCTAAATAATTCTTCCCTCATTCATGTTGCCATCATAATGCAGTTCTTACCTTCTTCACTTATTTTTTAATTGTGCAGGACCTCCAACAAAGGAGGGGGGAGGTGGCAGAGGGCCATTGCCCCCACTTTTTTGCAACACAATAGAGCATTTTTCAAAATCTTTTGTTATGGGAGTTAAATTTTCTGCATAATTGGAAAACCTTTCCTAAAAGCCTTTTCTTCTATTGACTTCCATTTCTACATCTTGTTGTTGTTATGTTTGCAGGAAGGGAGATATTTGGAAGCATGTCAGAAGTTTACAACAGCCATGAATGTTCTAGGCTATCAGCCTGGTGAGATGAATAGAATAGATTTAGGCTATCGTTGATAAATAGAATTTACTTTGTTTATTTATTATAGAACATTTTCTTTCTTTGAAATTAGCATAACAATCTGTAGTGTAACGCAGATTAAGGCACCTTGTTTCGATGTTTAAGGGCCCTCAAAATATTTTGATATCTATGTTTAAAAAACCTTAAAAGTTTTGCAACTCAGCTCCTTGCAGCTGATGATAAATATTGTCATTGTTGCATCTTTCTAATCTGTTAACATTCTTTACACCACTGGATACACCTTATTGCAGTTCGTAGATAGAGGCCCTAGCCCTATTTCAATTTTGATGCTTAAGACCCCAGGTTCCTTCGCTACACCATTGCAAGTAGTCTCAAATGGATTGCCAAGTAAAGCACATAGCCAGTCTGCATTTGGATCACGATTTAATAGATCTCTACTCGCTTGATAACTGATAAGAAGGAAATGGAAACCTGGGGGCAACACCAGAAAGACTAGAGGCCCTTGGCAAATTGGGGTCCCATTACAAGCTGTTGTGTTCAGTAGGGGGTGGGGGTATTCAGGCCCTATTTTCTGAAAAAGCTTATGACCCTCCATTTTTAGCAAATAAGCTAGAAATTTGCGCACGAAGCACTCCTAGGTTGCAAAAAACTACTCGTTTTTAAAACGAGATTTTTTCAGGTGGGTTGTCACACCCTTTACTCTTCCACAGCGGTGGCCCTGCAAATTTGTATACACTCTTTCTTTCCAACACCTTGCATTCATGGGATAAATATGTCCATCAGTGATTATTCACCCTTTCCCACTAAGTGTTTTCAACTCCATTTTCACTACAGCTTTGCCTGTACAGTTTTCTCTGTCCCAATGAAACTTTAATTCATTTTACTTTTAGATCTGTCCTACAACATAGCACTTTGTCATTATATGATGAAACAGTATGCCCCTGCCCTTAAACATATTGCTGACATAATCGAAAAGGGGATCAGAGAGCACCCTGGTAAGTATAGTTCTTTTTAAGAAACCTTTAATATATCATCCATAATAGAGCGAAATTTTTGTTTTTCAAGGATTTAATTTTATTTAATTTTGGTTCAAAATCTCTATCATTATCTAGTGTTATTTCTTTGAAGCGTCTTTCGTTTTTTCCCAGTAATGTATGTGTATCAATAATAGATTAAACCAAACAATTCTCTCCAGCCTAGCACTAAATACCCACTCAGAAGAGGTTAGCGTTTTTAGCATGTATTGTAACGAAACACCTTGTTTCAATAGCTATCAAACATTGTTCAATGACATCAAAATATGTTGGGTCTGCCTACCTTCTAATTTATCGATTTTTCTGCGTTTTCGACAAACTTCGATGGCCATGGTTTTTAAAACGATAGGGTCTGGGATACCATCACATGATGGATATTGCATGAGCCTATAGAATGATCTTTAAATGTATTACCAGTTGAAATATATTGAAATGTATTAAATGTAAAAGAAAATTCAATTATCCGTGTAGCCCTTTAGATCTGAAACTAAATCCTCAACAATATCAGGAAGCTTTTGTCTTTAGTTTAAAGAAGAATTGAAAATAAGTTGCATAAAAGTTAACTTGAATCTGCATTAGAACTTGACAATTTATGAGAGGATGATAAGATGTTTCGTCAGAATTATATTTATATGGCTTTTTATAAAATATCGCAATTGACGATATTTAAATAATTTTTTTTCAATAATGTTTATGAAGATGGTTTTAATGAAGAGCGCTTTAATAAGACGTCATACGCAAGATTGGTTTTGTTATTGTATTGTAAAATTTTGATTACTTGAAGCACTCATTCCCCTTTTAAGATGAAAATTTCACCTGCTTCTATAAAATGACACGTTGATATTTGGACAGCTGCAGAAGACTTTCTCAATGAAATTGATTTTACGTTGCTGGGTTTTTTAGAGCTCAGTGTTGGCATGACAACGGAGGGAATCGAGGTTCGCAGCGTTGGAAATACACGGGTGAGAAATTTTCTGCAGGTTGATATAGGCGGCTAAGGTTACATTCTTATCTGATCCTCGATCGTCGTGCTGGTTTAAACAAAAGGACGAGCTATGTAATGTCTATAGCACATTTTGGTGTTTAGAACAGGAAGGTTACAGCTTAGAACAGGAAGGTTACAGCTTAGAAGCGCCCTGTTTTATATTCAAAACGGCGTGCGAATAAAATGCTCTGTCTAAGCGAGTAAACACTTTGTTACATAAAAACATAGTTATATGTTGAACATAAGAGTGGTTTTATCAAACATTTTCTGACCGCAGGAAAATCAAGGTTTCCTCTTCCTTCCCATTTCGAGAGACACGCTCATTTTGTGGTATTGCTAGAGCTGTAACCCATGTACGCAGTTTATTTCAAATAAATACTGTGAAGAAAAATTCATCCACCAAGAATACATTGGCAAATAATGCTAACATGCCGAATCTGGGAGATTGCTCATTACCATTATATGAGGGCAATCCTGAGGAGATATCTATGCTTTGTACCCAGCATAGGGCTCAAATTTTGATTGGCTGAGATCTTGTGCTAAATCAAGTGACCGCTCTCTCCGCTGAGCCAATCTCAGCCCCGGAAAGTGTAAACAAACTTAGGCCAAAGCCGAAAATTGGGCAATTTTACCACCGTCCATTAAAAAAATAACGTGTAAAATCTGTTACAACAAATTTCAAATTTTTTTAAATACAACTTTTTTCAAGAACACGAGAACTTTTTTATCTCAGGTATTTTCATATAAACAAAAAAACTATTTGTCAGACCTAATAAACAAACAGATTAGACCTAATAAACGAGAAGTCAATATTGAGACTGATATGTGTATGGTTTCAGCCTTTCGTTATTCATCGTAATTAGCCGTTTCTTCAGCTGATATCACACATGTTCATTACACAACTGTTTTTCGTAATCTTCCTCTTTCTTACAAATTCTCGTTACATTAGCTAACCTTCTTTCCTTGATCAAATTATTGACATTGTTATTTGATTTGCGGATCACTGTTCCTTGGTTAGCCAAGCAAATGCGACCTCACCCCCAGCTTTTTATGTTTTCTATCCATACCACCTTGCACATCTTCTACTGCAGAAATTTACACGTTACAAAACCAGCTTTGCTTCCCTTTAAAACTTCTTTCATCTTCATTATTCGCTTTTTTTTATTCTCCTGTGTAATGGGTCTTTACTGTAATCTCACACAAGCCAATTGCCAAATCCATTTGTAATAGCGTGGTTGGTAATTGTAATCAAGTTTTATTTAAAATGAACCCTGTCCACTTATATTTAACAATTGACTTAAATAAGGCTTCTTGTTTTGAAAATCCTTGGCTCAAAAGTTTCGGGTTGATATCAGTTGAAACAATTCTTTATATTTGCAGGTGTTGCATGAGACAGCATTGATTGAAGCCTTCAATTTGAAAGCAGCCATTGAATACCAGTTAAAAAATTGTAAGCAATGTTATTTACAGAACATATAGATTGACCAATTTAACATGAAAATAAGAACATCATAAAAACTTGCAATAAAACTCATATAGACCAGATTTAAGAAGACCGAATGTTATAATTCATGATAGCATTTTACTTTTATTTTTAAGCTAAAACTTTTATTTCTGCACTAAGATAAACTGATATGATGTCAAAGGCATTCAGAAATTCATAGAAAGACCTAAAAGCTTTTGCTTTACAAAAAGGATTGGACTATTGGTTCTGAAGGGGAAAATATATACCTGTGTACAGTTAAGCTATCGACCGTTAGCTACATTCGAAGAAAAGTAGGGTTTCGAAATAGCTATATTATTAAAAACCTATGAACAATAACTATGTTAGTAAAAGGTTTTTTATCATGACAGATTATGATGTTTTATGTCTTTGTTATAATTATGTTGTCGTGGCACTTCTCGTTCTTCCCTTTCAGATGAAGCTGCCCAAGAGGCCTTGACAGATATGCCACCAAGAGCTGAAGAGGTATTTTTCTGACTGTTTTGATCTGTTTTGATCTTATTTCGAACGAAGAAACTAAATTGCAAATTAAATCGAAAAATCATTTTCTTCATTCTTATGTTTTCCAGAAAAATTTCGTTATTGTAGTAACCCATTTTAAGGTCCTGCTAACTGATTCGTGGTTGAAATATTTTCCAGGAACTGGATCCAGTTACATTACATAACCAAGCTTTAATGAACATGGATGCCAACCCAACAGAGGTAATATTTTAATTTACGAAAAAGTTTTGAGCAAAATTCCTATACAAGTCAAATGTATAATGCACAGTTACACAAAGCAACCCAATTTTATGTACCCAAGAATATCTAACGGATAAACACGAAAGATAATATAAAACTAATATAAGATAATATAAGAAATGACTTGATTTCATTATTTGACAACGTATCCAGAATTGGATATGCAATCAAGAATATCTTATATTTTAAAGCTCTCTACCAGAACAACCTTTAAGTTTTTATGACGTCATTAAGATGATTTTGCCCTTTGTCAATAGCTTGTGCTGTCTTTTCAGGGTTTTGAGAAATTCAGATTCCTTCTGCAACAGAACCCGTTTCCACCAGGTACATCAGTTCTCAAATCCTGTTTAGCATTCCTATTCAAATGGAAATTTTATCATCAGCAAGGCACAGATTTGTTAGACCAATCAGATTATTTATTTTACCAGTCATAATCTATGATCACATTTTATCTTGTTAATTGTGCTTTTTGAAACGTTTTAGAACATATGTTTTTGACTTATTTTAGTTAGCAATAACGTTATGCTAAGCATTGAAAACTAGTTTCCCATTACGTCTCATAGCCAATGATGGCTCCTGAATCACCAGGTTCCTAAAGCAAAGCCGAGAAATCTAACCGCCTCAATATATCTATGTTCTTCGGACAGTTGCATTAACTACAGTCTTCTCCAGCATTTACCATTAGAACATTCTTAATATTGTTTTTAATTTTGTCCTCCTTGCAGTTTGAAACTCCATTTTGATTAACGCTTGATATAACCCTCTTTAAAATACGTAACTCTATTTGCTTTTTATTTTATTCGCACAAAATCATTCAAATTAAAGAAAATATCTCACCTAAAAAATGTCAGCTAATAAGTATTAAAATCCTGAAGCCTGTCAGTCAAAAATAATCATAAACTGCATTTAGTTTAAATATACTCCAGCGCTTTTTTTGTGAACGTGCTTTGAAAGTGTTTTCTTTCTCCCGTAGAAACATTTGGAAATCTTTTACTTCTTTATTGCAAATATCAGGTAGGTCTAGTGTTAATACATAACTTGACCTTCTGCGATATACTGCTTAAATGTGTATCAAACAATTACTTGTACTAGATATAATTACTGGCTTATTGTTCGTTTTGGAGACTTCATTAACTTTGGGTTGTTCGTGTATATGGCAATCTATTTCCAGACGTATCAGGCGTATAATTCTACTTTCCGATGCCTTATGACAAGCAATAGCCTCCAGGCTGTAAAACTGTGCTTTTACCGTGTTAATATGCTGTCGGTAGGCAATGTCACCATTATCAGGACAAAGTGCCTAATCCCTATAGAGCTTCTTCTCTTTACTATGGCAAATTGTCTGGTATTTTGGTTGAATCTCACTACTGTGCATAGCAACTGTGTACAGACAATTTTCAGGTGTTCTTTCCCTAGTTATAATTTTCGGTGGCTTTTGTGATATTTTTAAGATTATCAATATTTAATTAAACATTTTACTTTTTTGAATATTTCATTATTTCCCTCGCTTGAATCTCAAAATCCAGCATGACTGTTATTGTCTTGGGTTTATCTCCAATTTTGTCTTTATCTAGGCTTTTTTCAGCTTCTCTTGCTTACAGTACTAAATCTTGAATGAATTTAATAAAAGCAGGGTAATTATTATTGATTTTGTATCCTAGGTGTTATCTTTTTTTGTAATTTTAATAGTATATATTGTAGTAAGTAATCTTTTTTTCGCTAGTATTATGACTTAGCAGCAGACGTTTTAGCTGAGAATGCAAGTCTTACCTTCAAATTCCTGACACAGGTAAGATTGCTTTGGTATTGAACATTGCGTCTTATTTCCCTAGCTAATGTTTCGTTTAGTACTAATAGACATTCTGTACTTTTTAATTTTGCGGGAGAGTGATATTATGTAGTATGCCAAGATAGTTAAAACCTTCATTATTAGAAGATGTACATTGTTTATATCTGCTGTAAATCTTGAGATGCTTGTAATCTCACTTAAGCTATACTCCACACCGATGAATAACTTTGATTCACTGTGTTGCATTGGCTTACAACAAGAAAGGAAGGGAGACCTTAAAGGGAGAAGAAGAATGAAGACCTGGCAGCACAGCATTCGTTTCTTCAACACACATACATACTCATATACAAAATATTGAGCAAATGTTATGGATTTAAAGCTGCTCGCAGTAGATCCAATGCCTACTGCAGTTAAAATGAATATGGGAAATAAAATTCAAATCAAGATTTTTAATAAAGCTACAAATTATTTCTAAATTATTCGTCTAAAATTTCCTAAATTTAGACAACACTACTGATTATTTATCATTCATTTTTAGTACTTATTCGACTTTCTGGATGCAGTAATTACCCAACAGTCATCCCAAGAAGAGGTATGAGGATTTTGGCATTCCACTGCTTCAGTATCCAGCATAGATTTGAAACCCTCCCTTTAGGAAATAAGTCAAACACATTGATTGCAAGTTATTGTTGCAACAAACGCTTTGTGATTGTTGAGTGTTGTAGCACATGATTTTGTTTTCATTGACCTTTCGCTATTTGTTGGCCTTGCCTTGGGTAATTTTTCTGTACTCTGCTCAACTTCGAGCATTTAAAGCTGAAGCACTACTTTCTGATCAATGCTTTATGACTCTCTAACTCCCAGTATTTCCCAATTTATATGGATAATCAGAAATATATTTTGATTCATTGTTTCAAATATGTTTTTGTGAAAAGGGTTTTGGTTAGAATGCTTGACTTTCATAGTAAAGGTTATGTGTTCGAATCATAACTCGGTTGTTTGAAGGCTTACTCCCTGTTCATCTAGTAGTAAATTTGTTCCCGTTGCAGCTAATAAAGTGCAGGAGGGGGGGGGGGGGGAGATGGATTAAGAAATTATAGGTTGTGGACTTTTTACTAGGAGAAACAATCCTATACTTATAGGGAATGCCTGTGTAAACATTCTAGATTTAGTTAAATAGTATAATGGCAGATTTGAAATCGTGGAATCTCATCACGATGTACTTTGCTAAACTTGTTTAGTCCGAACGGATGCATATGTCTCTAACTTATCTGTAAATGCGTCCATCTAGCAAACTACACTTATTTTTTTACAAAAAACTGGCTATAAGAAACGAGTACTGGACAGTCAGAAAAAATTAAGAAACTTCAGTACTCGAAGCAAAAAAAATTAAGAAACTATTAAATCGTGATAAAATTGAGAACAACAAAATTTTATAAAATCCAAGAACATGATTGCCCTGTTGGCCTAGAAATTAAGACACAAGGGATAAAATTATACTTCCCACGTCTAAATACAGTGTCAGAACGTAAGCGAATCTCTTGACGTGAAAAAGGCCACGAACATTTCACAACATCATTCATGACATCATAATTAAGAAACTCTTAAGAAACAGTGAGTATTGAAATTTCCAGAATATTAAGAAACTGAAGTACTCAACATCGACCTTTGTTTCTTAAAAAAAAATGAGTGTATATTCACATATGTTCTCCTTGTACAGGCCTTCAGAAAATTTGATGACATCGCTGTGCGGCACACTGACTCACTAAGAAAACTGACCAAGCAGGTAGAGAAAATATCTATCTTTTGTTAGTAATTTTTGTCACGCTAAGTTAGCTAGCTTGACCGTTTCTTTCATTTATATTAAGTAAACTTCCACTGGGGCTAAATATCTATACACAATCTTTCAGGACTGGAAATTTAGAAATTATTCATGTTGTTGTTTTGAAGATAAACTTGTTCTCGTGTTCCAATTTTTTACCATCCTACTGTCAGTGGCCCAAGAAGTCCTCTAGCATCTTGCAGGACAATAGTCACTCAAAAGCCTGTAATTTCTACTGTTAACACGATGAGAATCGGCCACTATTGCACAGACTTTGACTAAAATGTTTGTTCTTGCAAAAATGATACCCAGACATTCACAGACAGTTTGTGTCATAGTCTATACAGATAAAATTTACTGTCGGCAGTGCAATTGATCAATAGCGCTCGTTTTAAATTGAAAGGTCTCAACCCTCCTTAGACTAAAACATTTTACAAGGGCGATTGCATTCTAAGACATTTAGCAAATTGACTTGTGAAAAGTTGATTATTGATATGGTTTACTAATGTCATTCCTTCGCATTAATATTATGAGTTAGAACAATACACAACGCTAGTCTATCAGACGCCATAGCCCAGTAAATATTTGCAAACCCTTCACTTCAGTTGCCGAAGAAATCTAACACTTACAGCTTCCATTTGTTATGCAAACATTAACTTAGTCCTACGCAAAATCTGTGGCTAGGTCAGATATAAATTGCCTAATGGTCTTATGATGGGTATCGTTTTGTTTATGATTATACACTGAAACAAAATTTTGTTATTCTCCGGCTGCCTGCTAAGTTGCTGCTGCAAATGAATTATGATATGAGCAGAATAAAACCAGGCTTGGTCATTTGTAATAAGCAAGAACTTAACCCTAAATGTCAGGTGATCTAGATTGTCACTTCTTTTGAAAAGTACTTATAACTACAGAGATTTATTAGAGAATTGAGCAGGAAGAGAGGGAGGGGTATCACATGGAGTTAATAAATTTTATTGTGTAATTATAAGGCAGGGTGCATAAACCAAAAACTGAATTCAACAGTTGCTTTTGCCAAATAAGTTATGGAGAGTTTCTCTAGCTATGAACTTGTGTCCATTGAGTTCTAACTCCATTTTACACACGGTAGTGTAAAAAGATCTTGTTTGCTACTGTTGCTACCATAGAAGTAAGGAGTTACTTCTCAAAGAATAAATTGATTTGGCTCTTGCAACTAATGGGTATGACCGGCCTTAGCCTGTGAGTCATGTTGAGAAGCTTCCAATCTTATTTTATAGGTTCAAGAGGCAAGACACAATAACGATGATGACGTTGTGAAAAAGGCAGTGAACGAGTACGACGAGGCGTTGGAAAGGTTAGCCCTGGTTACTCTTTACAAGCGTGTGATACAGACTTATTTTGCTGCGCTGAACAATTCCCTCAAACTTTTAGTTTTTTTATACTACAAAGCTTCCTAAGTTATTTTGATACACTTTGAAGCTGTGCTTATCGAGCTGTGCTTATCGAGCTGTGCCCTGACCTTCCTCTTTATGTGACCACACTTCGTGATTCTTATCTCTGGAATAGCAGAGGCCTAGTAGAGAGCTGGCAACTCTCCTTACTCTAAGTGAAAGTTCGGTCACGTCGGTGGCTCGAACCACAAACCCTTGGATCTGAGCACCTATCCTAGCACCTTAAATGAAGTTGCCACAAATGGACTAGAACTTACAGAACTTCCATCCATATCGCACAAATGAAACAGATCCTCAGTGTTAGCATGAACTACAAGCCACACCCTACTCTGGCTATATCCTCTTTAAGCTCTCACTCAAGAACGTTTCTTGTCTATCCGTTATTAGTTTTGTCTGGCAAAGCTTGTGAATTAAATTGCAGTTTCGGCGAGACGGAGAACCTAGATCGAGTTTAAGACCGGGAACACCTATACTGTAATTTCAGTTTAATATTTCCTTTGTTTGGATATTATCCCAGGGACTGTAAAAGCTGTTCTTGTCGATATCCTGGTGCAAAGAATGTCTGAACCAAAACTAAACATCGTTGTCTCCAATATAAAACTATTTATATTTAGCATTTAGAAAGGAAACACCCAACCACTCCTGAAATATTTGGACGTCTTTAAACTGACAGCTATTGTATTTCAAATTGACAGCTATAGCGAATGCTTTGCCGTAGGCTAATGGTTAGGGAAGTAAATATTTATTGTCAAATCTTTAACTTCCCTACAAATAAGTGATAGCTTCTTTTTACTCCATTTCTTGCTTTTCGATTAATTAATTTTGTAGGATATAATATATATGACGAAATATGAAGTTCAGCAGAGGGCTGTGGGGCGCCATTCCCGAATTCATGAATATAAAATCTAAAAAGGATCGGGAATCCAATTATTGTGGATGCTACATAACATCCTGTTATTTTGAAAACTTTGATCAATTTTTGTTTGGTTCTTGCCTTCTGCTTATGCTAGGAATATTTTTATGAAAAAGAAAATGGATTAAACAGCGATTGATACTAATCTTAGAAGCAATCTTTCAGCAAAGACTACCTTGTTTTATTTGTTAAGGAAAGTTATGAAAAATCAAAGTAGAATTTCAGCATTTGCGATGGCTCTTTTATCATTATTTGCAATGAAAAATTACATACTTCTAAACTGCATGATGCAAAATGTTTCTAATTCTATCAAAGTTGTTTCAATGGTAGGTTTAGGATTTCCAAAATCAGTTAAATGATATGATCACATTTGAAAGACTAATCAATGCTTTTTTATTTAGAACAAATGAATAACAAGATCTCCATTTAAGTTTTTGATTATTTGTTTCAGATACATTCCAGTCCTCATGGCACAAGCAAAGATCTATTGGGATCGTGATAACTATTCGGCAGTTGAGAAGGTATTCCCATTTTCGATAGAAAGTATATTAAGTATTATGTACTTTGGTTTTCCCATTTAAGAGCGTGCTTTTTCTTATAAGTACATATCTTTGAAATCTCTGCTTTGTGTTCACGAATTTTGCTTTTTTTAAAGACACGACTGGAAAGATGCCAATTCAGTATAGTCAAACGTAGTGTGTGGCGTTGTTCATTGGCTTACCGAAAAAAATTTGTCATGCTTCTCTAATTTTGAGGACCCTTGAGATTCAACAAACAATAGCCAATGAACAGCGTTCAATTAGAAATGAGAATAAAGTCAAATGAGGTCAGGTTAAAATGTGTCTTGTGCGCAAATGTATAAGAAGTAAACGAGCAGCAAGATTTGAAAAAATCTTCTCTTTGATAGTGGAAGTGACTCAAACCATCCTTCTATCAACAATTGACCAATCGCTGAGCGTGATACAACTCACACGCTCATTGATTGGCTAATATTGATTGACAGATGGCTCAGGTCATTTTTGCATCTGTTGCTCGCCTTTAGGCCTTTATGCATCAACTGCTTCAAGAAATCCAGACATTGTAATATGTCTCGTTGGGAATGTTTGGATATGGGGGTGTTGAAACCAGCAGAACACATTTAATACATAACAAACAGTTTTTTACAAGTTTCAAGATTGCCATTTTATATAATGTATTTATAACTTTTTGCATTAAAACCTTCATTATGGAATACAATATTTGCAGTGCATTGTTTGAAATCATTTTCCGTGAAGTTTTGGAAGTGTTCTAACATCGTTTTGCATTCCACGTGAGAGTTTTATTGTTGAAGTAAATTAACAATTTCTGTTTGCATCTAGATCTTTCGAAAATCAGTTGAATTTTGCAATGAACACGAAGTCTGGAAACTAAACGTGGCTCATGTATTGTTCATGCAGGTATATAAAGTTATAATTTATGATAAAAATGTAACTATGTGCCTATCTTCATAAATTGATCGATCGTAAATTACACGCCGATTGCATTAACAAAATTATTCAAAGTTTACGTTTTAGAGAGGTAGAAGGTACTAAACGTCAGTTGTTATAATTTATAGTTAAAGCATTTTAAGCTTCTTTTGAAAAACAGTTATTAAAAAGTTTTCAGAAGAATAAGAGTCATTAGAATAATGCAAAAATGCAGAAGATTATTTCCCTGTTCGAATTTCGTTGATCCATATTCGTAAGAGCATTTCAATTATTACTTTTAAACATCCTGCCAGATTTTGTGAAATAGGATTCTTAAAAATGGGTCAAAACTGTTTAAAGAATAAATCTTAGAGACGACTTGCTAAAAGCACACATTGTGAAAAACATGATATTTCGATGTAAAAATGTTGACTATCTTTGTACAGGAAAATAAATACAAAGAGGCTATCGGATTCTATGAACCAATCGTGAAGAAACATTATGATAATGTAAGTCTTTTTGCCTAATTAGCTCACACCTCTAGTCTACTGTCTTTTACTGATTTGCATACATTTATTCATTGCTACACCTTGAGGTCACTTTATTAATGCAAGTCTACTTCCATGAGTTATTTAAAAACGAGAGTATTACCGAAGGCACACAAATGATATTAATTGATCCCTCTTTTTTCCTCCCTCTTTCTGATTTCCATATTTCCAGCTATTGTTATTTGGTAGCCTATAATCTATCTTGATAGGTACAAACGGTTCCTTAATTTGTTCCGCCCTCTACATGTGGGTTCCTTATAAACTGGTTCCTTATACAAAAGGCGTGTAATTCAACGAAAAACTATGATTCTATGAAGCTCTTAACTTAGCAGTCATCTTAATTATAAACCCTTGTTCTTTGTTTATTTCAGTGAGCCAAGGTCTTCTTATAATTGTATATATCAAAGAGCAGAATATCTAAACTTTCCTGTTCTACACATTGTTCATTCTCGACCTATCTATTTTTATAATAACATGCTCGATCAGAGCTTGAAAATTAACATGCCTCTCTATTCGGGAATAACGTTATTCAAAGGAAAATTTAATTCAAAACAGCTCACGCAATTCAGTGCTTTGATCACGGTAAGCTTTTGCCGTCCCCTTTGAATTGAATTCGGATTAAATTCTGTTACGATCAGGATAAAGGAGATCCACCCATCAAGCCCTACAGAAGATTTGATTAGGAAATTTGTAATCACAGCATATGGAAACACTGGTTATTTGATAACTCTCTGGTTTTGTTGAAGAAGTAGCTTTAATAATATTCACATCAAATCTTTTTGCTTGTGTTTTATATCAGAATAGCGTTAGGTGTAATCCATTTGTATAGAAAATCTCCTAAGTATTAGGTTTCAGAGTGAATAGGTCGTTACTATATGAATGGACAGGAAAGAAAATGTAATCTCTACTTGAAATGAGTAGTTTGTTCCTTGAAGTAATAACGTTAATGCGTCAGATCAAGTTTAAAAATTCTAACATCTATAGAAGTCGTCTCAGTTACTACATAACATCCTGTTATTGTGCAAAATTTGATCCCTTTTTTATTTTATTCTTGCAATCTGCTTATGCTAGGAATATTTTTATGAAAAAAAGAATGGATTAAACAGCGATTGATACTAATCTAAGAGGCAATCTTCCAGCAAAGACTACTTTGTCTAATTTGTTAAGGAAAGTTATGAAATATCAAAGTAGAATTTCTTTGAGCATTTGCGATGGCTTTTTTATCAGTTTTTCCAATTAGGGTTGAGAACGACTATGAAATATGATAAGACTATCAAAACAACTGCATTCTGGAGGAGTTGTCCCAAGCGAAGCAGTTTTACCTTACTGTTATTATCATTAAGCCGATATTTGCTTTTGTTATTTCTGAATTATCAATATTAATATCCAGAGCCTTTTACAATTTTTTTAATTATAAACAATTCGATGCATATTATGCGTCCGACTTCGATGCATACGAATACTAAACGCTAAGTTGCTACTTTATAGAACAGGACATTTCTAAGTTGTTACTACGAGTTGATGCTTAATGCCATCAATATAAAAACTAATACGAAGAGCAGTTGTCTGATTAACTCATCAAGCGTAAAACTCGGAGTACCAACTTAGAACCAGCCTATTCTATACACCCATTGCCTTTCTCAATAATTATACATAGGTAGAAGGAATATAGCAAAATTTTATGGCTTACCCTGTTTTGCAGTTTGTTTATCAATGTTTTTAAGCTATTGTTTTTTTCTTTACGCCTCTGTAAATGAAAGAGCTTTGACAAGATTGATTAATGGCCTAAACAACCTAAAGGCACAACGCTACGCAATTTCTGGGCTTATTTAACTGTTAGGAAAAGGATTTGATGAACATTAAACTGCTTTTTGAGTGGCTTGGCTTTGATCACAAAGTATCATTTACAGGCCGGATCCTAAAATTTTTTTTATCTTACCAACGAGAGTTTTAAAAAGCTCCCTCAAAAACTAAAGAAACCAAGATATATAGCCTAAGGCTGTAATTGGAATTCTTCTCTTTTTATTGACCTCCGCAAAGCCTATCAGCTGTTGGCCTCCCATTCTTCTAGATTCACTTCCAGGCAAAATAATTTATGCAGCCTTGTTAAATAATATATTTTCTTTTTTTAGATTCTGTCTGTAAGTGCGATTGTACTTGCAAACCTTTGTGTCTCGTACATCATGACCAGTGCCAACGAAGAGGTGGGTACAGATGCTTTTTTAATTGCACTAGAAACCTTTTACCAGTAGAGGCATTAAAGAGATTTCTAAGTATTTCCAGTGAATACAGAAAGCCTCGTTTTTACCTAAAATAAGGGTAATGGATATCATTGAATTTATGAAACTTTTCATACAATGGATTTTGATTTGATTGAGAGAAGTTATAGCATCGACAATCTCAATTGCTTTCGTCCGGCACGTGAATACTGTGAGGGTGTGGGGAAAAGGAGGGGTGTGACACCCTCCAATCAAGGAATTTCTTTGAAATAGTCGAAAATTTTTAGAAAAATTAGAAAATCTAAGTCGTAATTCCAATGCTTATCAATATCAGAGAATGGTATTTCATAAAGCTGATACAAAGTTTACTAATCGTAATCAATTTTTACTATTTTGGCATGGAGAAAAGCAACAAACATGTAAGCATGTCTGTTTGCCAGGGCGAAGTATTAGTTTGATTTTGAAGAGTATTTCAGTATAATGCTTTTTGGTCCTGTTTATATTGTATCAATCTTCGTCGTTTTGCATTGTTTCCCCTCACTGTTGACCGAAATTCCATAATTTCATCAAAACGTTCTGAGAAGTCCATGAAGTTTACCTATCAGTTTCTGGCGGTATGGGTAAAAGGCTCACCGCCGGGATAGCTCAGTTGGGAGAGCGTCAGACTGAAGATCTGAAGGTCCCTGGTTCGATCCCGGGTCACGGCAGGTGTTTTTTAAAGCCAAGGCAAAGGTTTTGATCGATGTCATCAATTTTTAGACATTTTCTCTTTTACTATAGGCTGAGGAGCTAATGAGGAAAATTGAAAAAGAAGAGGTTAGATTTTCAAGTCTTTTTGCACTGATATTTTTCCTTTTTTTCGCGAGTAAGAAGAAGAATTTAAAGGTCAGATAGAAACAAAAAAAATCAATATTTGAAATATACAGTGAGGTTGGTCTTGAAATCTTTCTTCATTCTGTATTCTGTCTAAAGTTGAGCATCCAAGCAAATCCTCTTTCTCAGGCTTCCCCATTTCTAGATAGCCTTGAAAACTTGAGCATAACTTTGATTATCATAACGAATAATATTTTGGCCTTTGAAGGCCATGCGTATTTTTACCACCTGAAAAAGCATGATTTAATTAATTTTGCACTGTCCTCTTTTAATAGTTTTCATGAAAATTGGTTCCAATATTATTAGTCAGTGTGTTATATCTGAATTTTAACTATTGTCATTTTGTCTGTTGATTTGCTGATCTGCCTCTATTTACCTCAATCTCAATACTTTGAAATTTGTCTTGCAGGAGCAGGTTGCCTACGACGACCCGGATAAAAAGACTTACCATCTTTGTATTGTCAACCTTGTAATAGGGTCAGTAATTTTAAGATTGATCATCATGTGATAATTAATGGTTAGCCCCTAGTTGATAGGCCATGATTAAAGATTGGTCATGATTAATGATTAATGATTGGTCATGATTAATGATTAGCTTAGTGATCAGCTTATTGATAGCCTTGTGCTGCTGGCAGTGATTGTGCTTCAATCTCAAGGAGAGGCAGAATATGAAACAATTACTTTGGTCTAACGAACAGCTGATTTCTAATGAAGATTTATGATTACAAACGGTATTTTGTGATTCATCGTGGTGATTGATGGTTGCCAATGGTGACCGATGGATGTCTATCTTGAATCATGGTTTCCTACAATGATTGATGTTTGTCCATGGTTATTAGAGGTTACCAATTATGACTAGTGTTTACTCTTGATGATTTGTCGTTACCCATGATCGCTAGTAGTAAATGATGATAACTAAAAGTTCCTCGTTGTGACTGATGGTTGCCAATGTTTTCTCAGTTTTATGGTGTACTATAAGGCTTTCCTAGCGCATGTTCTTATAATAGATATGCCATGCATTCATACTTCTGAGCAAATTGAAATCTCTATTTCTTGTTTCAATATTCAGTATAGTCTTGCTGTAATTGAAATCCTGCTTTCAGATTTGTCTGGGTTTCTTAAGCTATCTATTTTTCGTAACTTTGTATTCTTTAGATATAGGATATGCATGGGTGGGCATACCGTTTTGACACGAAGAAAATCTTATCATGTTGCTAAGAAGCATACTCATTTTCTTGCAATGACGCTTTTCGTGGAATGTTATGGGTCTGAGACAGAAGATAGTATATCATCACTGAGAGAATTAGCTCTTATGGTTAAATAAAATGTAATTTCAAAGCAGTTGAATGCAAAAAAAGCAAAAACCCGGGGATATTATATGAACGTTTCTTTCTAGACCTTTTTTAAACATTCTCTGAGAATTTACGTTATCGCTGGATTATTTTCTTATAAAACTTTTATTTTAGGACTTTGTATTGCGCGAAAGGAAATTACGAGTTTGGAGTATCAAGGATTATCAAGAGTCTGGAACCGTATCATAAAAAGGTTTGTGTTTGAGGGAACAACTTGATATACTTGCCAACCATTTTATCTTTTTGTTTGACCAACCTTTTGATATCCTCAATTGCCATTTTAATCTTGGATTCGTCTTGCACAAGCAAAATAAGTAAGAAATGGAAAGAAAATGTACATTCAAAGTAGAGAGGGAAGTTATTTGTATTTGTTGCTACCTAGCATCCGAAGGTAGTTTTTAGGACACTGAGAAGCTTATGCTTATCGAGCAGTGTCCTGGTCCTTCCTCTTGATGGGACCACATCTCGTGATTCCTACGCCTGGAATTACAGAGAGCTGGCGACTCTCCCCACTCTGGGTGAAAGTTTGGTCATGCCAGGGACTCGAACCACGGACCCTTGGGTCTGTAGTCAGCGCCTCTAACAACTGAGCCATCCTCGCACAAGTGAAGTTATCAATTGATGGGAAAACTAAACTGTAATAAACCAGTTAGCAGTGACGATTTAAGTTGTCATATGAGCAGATCTAGTTATATAAAACTTTTTTCTCGATTTTCACGATAATGTTATTTATTAATAAAAATTCATTTTTTAGACATAATGCTATTTTAGACAGCTACCAAGTCTGTAAACAAATGTGCTTAGTGTAACCTTCAATAGCTAATAGTTTTTGTTTATGTTTTGCAAAAGTGACAAAGCTTCACTTACAATATCTGAATTTGTCAGTCCATATCTAGTTTTTCCTTAAATTTTGGCAATTTGAGCAAAGTGTTTATTTGTATTTTTTCTACTCTAGCTTGGAACTGACACGTGGTTCTATGCAAAGAGATGTTTTCTCTCCTTAATTGAAAACATGGTAAGTGCATCAGATGTCATTGTAGATATGATTCTTAGAATATTACCTTCTATAGGAAGGGCTTCCTAGTGCCTCTCTTCCAAGTGTCTCTGGATCTTATTTTTCGCAAACATTGTTTAATATCTTCAGAAGAATCTTGGTCCAGTTCGTAAATTTCAATGATAGGTGGAGATAGTCTACGTTCATGTTTCGTGTACTGGATTTTTTGCATAACAATATCTTGTTTCACTATCTATCAATGTTAATTAAACTAACTTTGGTAATTTTCAATGGATTCGGTACATTTATTTAGTACTAGATGAATTCGTGAATTTCTTTATCTCTTCAAGGCGAAACAGATGATAATGTTATCAGATAAAGTCCTGCATGAATCTATGCAATTCTTTGATCATTGTGAAGGTATGTGAATGTTAGTTTTTGTGAACGAAACTCAAGGAAATTAATTCGTCTTTGAGGAGGTTACACTATAAAATATCCTTCTTGACAAAACATACGTTGATTCCATTTTGCGAAAATTAGTATTGTTTTTGTGTAACTTTTTTCCACTTGAAATTTGTAATCGAAATTTATTCTATTCCTAAATTTAATTACTTTCTATTGAAAAATGTTTTGCTTTTCTTTGTTATGAAACTTTTCTGGGATTCCTGAGTCTCGTTTCTTTTTCTTTCTGCTAAATGTAACGGTATAATCAGTCTTACCTCCATTGGTATCATTTCATTTTCCGTATTGCAGTCATCAATCGAAAAACCTTTTAAAAAACTCCTACATTACATGTTTCTGCCTCCATATTTTTATGTCTAATTTTATCTTGTTTATTTCTCCCTTTATTGAGCCCCATGCTATCGTGCTTCTAATGCCAAGTCACTCCATTAAAGTGCAGCATCTCCTTTCAGCTTACGGCAAGAATGTTCAGACTGTAATTGAGCAACCACTCGAAAGCGAGCCATTGCATGCCGGGAAGAACACAGTGACTTACGAGGCCAGGTTATTGAAAAGCCTTTTATTGCGCGTTGCATGAAGCACCTGCTCTCCCCTACAAACCTATTGCAAAAAGCATGCTTGTCATCGCAGATATAATTTATCATTGTAAAATTTGTTGATATTAGCAATTATTTTAGTCTCTTAGCTATAAAAATGCGCTTGCTTTAATAAAGGGTTGTCTTGAGCAAGACCATACTTGCTGGTTTTTTGGCTATCATTTTAAGAAGATGGCGACGTCAAACACTGGTATAACGGTGGAAGGGTAATTACCGCCTTCTTTAGTCAAACGATAGTCCATATAAATTCTTCCTCAACACTTTAATTCTTTTTGAACCGAACTGAAAGCAATTTGATCTCTTTCTGATTATACAGAAGCAAATTAGCCAGTTTCAAGAACAAAAAAATTTTCAAAAAAAATGATGGTTTTACTAAGGCTATACCCTTACTTATTTTTCAAAAATTGACCACTTTTTACATTGATTTTTTTTTCAAAAAAACGTATTTTTGACCCAAACTAGATGCAAATCTACCTTTTTCTGATCATACAGAAGCAACTTAGCTAGTTTCAAGAATAAAAAATTTTCAAAAAAATTGATGATTTTACTAAGGCTATACCCTTACTTATTTTTCAAAAATTGACCCCTTTTACATTGATTTTTTTTTCAAAAAAACGTATTTCTGACCCGAACCAGATGCAAATCTTTCTTTTTCTGATCATACAGAAGCAAATTAGCTAGTTTCAAGAATAAAAAATTTTCAAAAAAATTGATGATTTTACTAAGGCTATACCCTTACTTATTTTCCAAAAAGTGACCCCTTTTTAAATTGATTTTTTTTCAAAAAAACGTATTTTTGACCCGAACCAGATGCAAATCTTTCTTTTTCTGATCATACAGAAGCAAATTAGCTAGTTTCAAGAACAAAAAAAGTTTCAAAAAAATTGATGATTTTACTAAGGCTATACCCTTATTTATTTTCCAAAAATTGACCACTTTTTTATATTAATTTTTTTACAAAAAAACGTATTTTTGACCCGAACCAGATGCAAATCTACCTTTTTCTGATAACACAGAAAAAAATTAGCTAGTTTCAAGAACAAAAAATTTTCAAAAAAATTGATGATTTTACTAAGGCTATACCCTTACTTATTTTCCAAAAATTGACCACTTTTTTATATTAATTTTTTTTCAAAAAAACGTATTTTTGACCCAAACTAGATGCAAATCTTTCTTTTTCTAATCATACAGAAGCAAATTAGCTAGTTTTAAGAACAAAAAATTTTCAAAAAAATTGATGATTTTACTAAGGCTATACCCTTACTTATTTTTCAAAAATTGACCCGTTTTTACATTGATTTTTTTTCAAAAAAACGTATTTTTGACCCGAACCAGATGCAAATCTTTCTTTTTCTGATCATACAGAAGCAAATTAGCTAGTTTCAAGAACAAAAAATTTTAAAAAAAATTGATGATTTTACTAAGGCTATACCCTTACTTATTTTCCAAAAATTGACCACTTTTTTGTATTAATTTTTTTTCAAAAAAACGTATTTTTGACCCAAACTAGATGCAAATTTACCTTTTTCTGATCATACAGAAGCAAATTAGCTAGTTTCAAGAATAAAAAATTTTCAAAATAATTGATGATTTTACTAAGGCTATACCCTTACTTATTTTTCAAAAATTGACCCCTTTTTACATTGATTTTTTTTTCAAAAAAACGTATTTTTGACCCAAACTAGATGCAAATCTATCTTTTTCTGATCATACAGAAGCAAATTAGCTAGTTTCAAGAACAAAAAATTTTAAAAAAAATTGATGATTTTACTAAGGCTATACCCTTACTTATTTTCCAAAAATTGACCACTTTTTTGTATTAATTTTTTTTCAAAAAAACGTATTTTTGACCCAAACTAGATGCAAATTTACCTTTTTCTGATCATACAGAAGCAAATTAGCTAGTTTCAAGAATAAAAAATTTTCAAAATAATTGATGATTTTACTAAGGCTATACCCTTACTTATTTTTCAAAAATTGACCCCTTTTTACATTGATTTTTTTTTCAAAAAAACGTATTTTTGACCCAAACTAGATGCAAATCTATCTTTTTCTGATCATACAGAAGCAAATTAGCTAGTTTCAAGAACAAAAAATTTTAAAAAAAATTGATGATTTTACTAAG